CAACTTGGATGGCTGGAAGTCCTTTGCCCAGTAAGTGAAAGATTAGGTCTGGGAATGCATCACAGCCAAGTTAAGAATTGTCTGGTTAAACGCCCCAAAACAGTATAATTTGATCATTCTTACTGCAAACTATCAAGGCACTAACTGTTTTTCTCCATTTTGTGATTGACATTTTATAACATAATCAAGTTTTGGCTGTCATATAAATGCTGTATATCAAACATAGCTTAAAAGAAATTTGACGTATTGCATTAGAAATAGTCATCAGCGGCACAGTGATTAGCAATCATGCTGGCTTTCTAGTCGTGTGTGACGTCATTCACACATCGAAGCTCCGACTTCCGAGGAAACTTGAACACAACATAAGAAGTCAAACATTGGGCAAAACCAGCTCCGATTACAAAATTAATTATTTTCTGAATCTATGTAAATACTAAGAATTGAAACACGGTGCGTTTGCTTTAGTAGCATTAAACCAAACGTTTTGTTTGTTTGTTTTTTCCTTTTCATGTTTTAAAAATCCATTTGTACCAAGCAGTGTTGTGGACTGCGGCTACAGAAGGTTAGGATGATGAAGCAGCATTGTTTTGGTGATCATCACAGATGTTCCATGGGAAGATATTAAAAGAAGAAGGTGTTGATTACAGCTTTTGATCTCTCCATAAACTATGTCACCGCCCATCCCTGACCTTTAATTGGCAGCCGGCGTGCTGTGGCCCCTTTATCTCGTCGACCTGCGGAATGCTGGGGTTTTGGCCCCCAGCCGACAGGAGAGTGTTCATCACCATCAGCGCACGGAGGAGGGGATGAAGGGCTGCTCAACTGCGACAGCAGCTCCGCGGCGCGTTGAGCCCTGTGAGTCATCGCTGGAGAAGTTAACTCTTGAAATGCCACGATGCAAGCCAGCGACAGAGAAGACTAAATTAAACTGAATCATAATCGCAAAAATAGGGGCGGGGGGGTGTAAAAAAATCATAATGAAAGAGTATCAAAATAAATGTCAGTTATCAGCAAAGCATCAGATTAAAGACTAAGATTAAAGTAAAAATGTAATTACCCTACAGTCCATTTTTTTAACGAGTGAAACTTGTGTTTGTCATTTCAATATTAACACAAACATCCTTTCTTTTTTTTTTTCTTTTTTTAAAGAGAAGAAGCAGAAGTCCTCATGATCATTAAACATCTCTCCAGCGTAGCATCTACAGAAAGGTGCAACGCTGCAAACAACACACAGGGTCTATTTTAGTACGGCAGACTCGTTAGTCTGCCATATCTTATACCTGAATCATTTATAAGGACTTTTTAGGATCAGCTTTTGCGTGTGTTGTTTGATGACGCGTTGGTCAGGTGGTGCCTCATATAACAGGAGGAGCTGTCCAAGTGCTGAAAACAGAAGCGAATCAGCACCGTTCCTGAGGAGATGCCATACACCCTCACTGCTGTCTGAGCTTTATTACCAAAGGTAACGAAATCATGTTTCATGTTTTAACTAACCGTTATTAGTTTATATAAATTTGCTTCTCGATTGTATTATACATGATAGTTTCGCTTTTGGGCGTTTTCGAGTGAGACATCGATTTACTGGAACGGTTCGTCTTAATATTGAAAGCACGTTGTTGCTTACAGGCTATGAAATACGATACGTGTTGTGTTAGGTTTTATAGGGCGCTAACAGGTGTAAACGTAATGTTGAGGTTGCCCGTAACAACGCAGGGAGTGACTCATCCAGTGATGTATATGTAACGCACTCAGCATCACATCAGCGTAACTCCCTGATGTGATCAACCTTGGATCAAAACACACTGGCTTACGCACTTTCGCCTTAGAATGCGCTGAATTATCTCTTAAAACGCATCCATCCCTGAGGATCTGGTTCCTAATCCCGTTCTGGTTTCATTTTACAGGTAATACATTTGCCTATAATGCTGCATTTCCACCACAAGTTGCCCGCGGGGGGAGCCGTGGTCCTGCTCGCCTTCCTTCTCCAAGGATGCGCCGTGCAAGCTGCGTCTCTTCCCCGTCACTACAGGCTCCGGGGCGGGGAGAGCGAGGGGCAACCGGCTGCCTTTTCACCCAGCTCCGACTTGATCAAAGCCCTGGAGTACATTGAAAACCTGAAGCAGCGAAACGGCGGCCGACCCGAGCCCGCGAATTATGATGAGGTGGAAAAATTCAAGATTTTGCTTCAACTCGCCTCGCAACAAGATGAGGTTCCCGGGGACCGCCAGTCGAACCCCGGCATCCAGGGCCCGGACATAACCGCTGGACAGCTGATGAAGGCGATGCTCAAGACCCTCCAGGATCAGGCCGATAAAGATCCCAGGAGCGACCGCCGAACGCACAGGCACCGCACCAAAGACACTGAAGCACCTGAAAGTGCACCAGCAGACTATGGCAATTTCCCCAGACCCCACAAGAAGTATCCACTGATGTTTGAAGATGAAGAGAACACAGACGCAGCCAAGCGCGCAACGGAAGATCTGGACGAGCAGTATACCCCTCAGAGCCTGGCCAATCTGAGATCCATCTTCGATGAACTGGGGAGGATGGCCGCAGTCCCCAACCAAAAGAGGGGTGTGTTCGGGGACGACGACGAAGAAGGGCAGGATGGGCTTACTCAGGAAATGGCTGGAGGAGAGGAGTGGGTCCCCGTAGAGGAGAGGGAGGAGACCGAGGAGATGGTGAACAGGAGCCACGAAGAGATGGACAGGGCGCTCAATGAACAGGAGGAAGCAGAGCGCGAGGAGATGCAACGCCGTGCCAACCAAAACCAAGAGGATGCTGACGATGACACTAAACTCGTAGATTACTACCTGTTGAAGGTCCTGGAGATGAGCGATCAGACGCAGAAGAGGGATCAGACCGGAGATCAGAGGAAGAGGCTGATCCGCCCCTCCATCGTGGATCCCCGGACAGTGAAAGAGCTGCTGGAGCTTTCCCTCAAGCTCCACGTTCCCCCTCAAGACCTCATCGACATGCTGCTCACGGAGGAGCTCAGGAAGCTCCACCGCGACCCCCAAACCTTAACTCGCTACACGGCCGGCCAGACCCCCAAAATCAGGTACTTCAGCCGCAGGCTGCCGCTGAAAAGCAAGCCTGCTCCCGAAGACATGGACAGAGAGGACTTTCTGGACATCATCGGGGTGGAGACCATCAGCAACGAATACCCCGTTGTGCAGAGACCCATAAAGACTCCCTCCTCCACAGACAGAATCTCAGCAGCGACGAGCGCCGGCGCAGTCCCGGTTAAAATCCCGTCACCCTCCGGACGCCGAGAGAACCTGTTCCTGTCGGAACTCAACAAGATGCCCCTAAAGCGTCAGGCCGACGTCAACGACGAAGACGACGACGACGGCGGCGACGTAGAGGACGAGGTGACCACCTATCTTGCGGCCAAAATCCTCACAGAGTACCCCAACACCATCACCAAGCGGGACACCCAGGCGCAGCTGAAGGGACAGTTCCCCTACGAGCTGTACGAGCGCGCCATGAAGGACTACATGGAGCAAGCAGACACTGAGGCACGGCCAGTGGCCAAGAGGGAAACCGCGGAGCAAACGGAGGAGAAGGCGAACCCCGCAGAGGTACAGGGAAAGGAGGAGGTGACGGCCAAGACCTCCGCTCCGCAAACAGCAAAGGAAGAGGAGGAGCGCCGTGAGATAAAAGCGGCTGGGATGTAATCTGATCTCTCCCCACCCCTCCCTGCAAGATGCATTATTATGAATATGTAGTATTTCTACTGTCTCAGAAATAACGTTTGGTGGACGTGATCTAGTTTACACATTTCTATTATATGAACTATAGCTGGTATTAATAATCACTAATGACAATTATATATATATATATATAAATATAGTAACTTTAGAAGTAAACTATGATTTTATCAATGACTGTCCCTACTTGCTGCAAGAACATCCTAGAAATATTCTAATACACCACAGGAAATTAAAGGTGCACCCAGTGAGGTAGAGATGCGAGTTCTCGGTAAGCCTAACGATCAACTACAATCAAATCAGATAAAAAGTTGTGTGATGTTAAGTTTACATTTACTGGTGTTTGCAACAGCCCTATAGTTTAACCAACAGAGTAAAAAGTAAAAATGGCTTATTTTCATCTATGTAGAACTATTTATTAACATATGTGAATATAAATGTAAATTATTAGGTACAAATCTGAATGGGCCTTTAAAAAAATAAAAGTCAAGCTTTACTTGAGAATAATTATCGTTTGTCAGGGCTGAGGGCGAGTGTTGTGACTCTTGACATATTCAGGGTTAGTGGATTTCATGTTATGGAGTAATTATTTCTAAGTCTAAATATCAGACCGTCGCCTGCCTTCTAACCCTTTCATACTGCAAAGCTCTGTGTCGTTGGCCTAACAGTGGTTGTGCTACGTATGCTCATTTTTAAACCATTTTGTACATGTTCAACAACGTGTGATCAATCACAGACGAATAAAGCATCAGATGTATTATTTTTCTTCTTGCTGAGTTCTGTTGCCTTATTGAGAAACAGACACGAATCACAGTCTACACAGTTTTGAAAGATCATACGACTGAAAAGCTTTTTGTATCAAAATATACACTTTAATCGAAAATGTGCATTGTAAAATCTCACACTAGCAGCTGCTCAATATGTCAGCCAACAATCTCAGACGTGGTAAGGTTTATAGATTACAAAATGTAAAAAATATTTTATAAGTGGGCATTTTGCTAGTGAAAATTTTGAGTGAAACATCTGAGTAGTACACTTGAAAAAAAAAACATTTTAATAGGGCGAAAGTCAAAATAGCACACTTGGAAAAAACAAACAAAAAAAAAAAACTTTTTTAAGAGTGAAAATGTCAATATATTAAAAGGTATGATTTTCATATGAACGAATCACAATTCTAATTCTAGAAAAAAAAGAACAAAAACTTTATTGTCTATTTGTAATATCATTCAAATCCATTATAAATGAGTTCCAAAAATAATCCTGCGCATTCCAAAGTTTTTGAAAAAAAAAAAAAAAGAAAGAAAGAAAAAATAGATTAAATGAAGCTAATTTTTTAGAAACTTCATGACCCATTTACAGTACATCCAGGTTGTGGAGTCCTCCACGAAGTTCACATCCTCCTTTCCCAACAGTTAAAACGCAGGTTTGCTCATATACTCCTCCATGGTCTGAGAAAAAGGCACATCAGAGGTAAGAAGAGAATATCAGATTTTTAAAAAAACAAACATGCAAAATTATACACTTAATTCTTAATATTCACAGGCACACACCTACACATCACCTCCAATTCAGTGCCAACACACAGCAGGTTAACTAACACAAGCACAGCATCTAACCTGTCTGTCCATATTCAAGGTCATCCAAACAGCTCCACCTCATACCACTCACTGTGGTCATCCTGAAGTGATAATGGTCAAAATGAATAAAGGGAGGCTAAACTGAACATCATCCAACTCTAGATTAGAAGTGTTAGTCAGCCCTAGTCAGAAGCACAGGACAACACACCCAGTTAGGCTAACACTGTACCACACAACCACGAGCACAGAGGAAGGGGTGGGAGCAGGAAGCACCAGGCAAACACTAAAGTTCACTCCAAATTCCAGCAGAATCTGCTTCTCACTCGCAGTGACCCTGGCTGAGGAAGAGGCAGATATGCACACTGGAAAAGGAGGGGCAGGACAAACAGCAGCGCAAGCACAAATCTATAAAACAGGAGGGGCCACTAACATTAAAACGTCTTTAAGCTATGAAGAAAACAAAGACACAATAGGGACTGAGCTGCACCTATTCATTGAACTCGCTACAGGAAAACTAACCGCACTACATTCACTCAGCAAACTTACACTCTCATTTCAGAGCATAAAGTAGTATTTAAAAGAAGCGTTGTTGTAGAGAGAAATCTTCAAACACCCAGTTTTGTAGATTTGGATTACCCCACAACCACAACTTTAGAAAAAAAAAAATCAAATAAATAGAGACACACACACCCAACAGATGTTTTAATCTAAAAATGTGTCACTAGTGCTTTAAAAATCACTGAGGCATGCAACAGAAGTTACATGCTCACACAGCATTAGAATAAAAATGTGTGTGTGTGTGTGTGTGTGTGTGTGTGTGCGTGTGCATCCATGTGTGCTCATGCATCTTACCTCTTGTAACATGTCTGAGGATTCGATTGCTCGATTCACAATCTGTTTAGAGGTTTCCTGGATCTCTCCTCCCATTAAAAACTCATCCAGGATAAAATAGGCTTTCTCAAAGTTGAAGATTATGTCCAACTCACACACCTGAGAGAGGATATGATGTCAGTTATTGAAGTTACCAAATCTGCACAGCACACTTAATTTATTGCTTTTTATACTACATCAAAGTAAAACATACAAAAGTAAATGCAGTGTCTGCATCATTATCTATTAGCTTTTAGATAAACTCATACTTTCATCTAGAATTCTGGAAATTCCAATATTTAACTCAAGTACATTTAGTGATTAGATGGGGGGGGGGGGGAACCCAAATTTCCGAAAAATTGTTTTTAAAACCACAATTTTGGGCCCCGGTTTTTTTTA